CTCCAGTCCCATGCACGTGCTAACATTTAAACACGGGCATGGTTTAAAACAGCTGAAACGCAAACAGGGGGGTTTTAAGCCCATCAGTGCACATATGCGCACAGGTCGGTTGGGAGGAGTACAGAAGCTACTGATTATGAAAGGGCTGGCAGCATTAAAGCTCAACAGATTCTGAAAGCAATAAACAATCGCTACACGTACCACTAAACTAATAAACCTATCTGTGAACAGTCTCAACAATGTTGGAATGTAAATACACCTTTTACCATGTGAGCATTCAGATTCATTCACTTGGATACCTCACAGAATTGTAATAAACTTGAAGGTTGATGGAAATTCAGCAAAGCTCTTACAAGCCTGCACGAAAATATTCCGCTTTTTAGAAATACAACCCGAGATTTTAAAACATTATTTCTTTTGCTGTTCGGTACCTGATGAATACTACGGAATGCAACAGTCATATCCAAAATACAACCACCTGGGGGTTCCAAAAGAGCTTAAAACCATGGCGCCAAGTTTACGCCCATTTCATAAGACAAAAGCTCCCAGTGAAGCCCACGAGTAGATCTGCGCAGGCTCTGGCTCCTGACAGTCCATTCCACGCATCTTTTTTAAAACATCTTTTAAAAAAAGTGAAAACAATTAAGCTAATAGAATTGCACCTTCCCACTGTTTGAAGCAAAGACGCTCCTCTGAGCTGGCACGAGGCACCGCGTATCGATGGCAGGCGAGGAAGCTGGAGGCCACTCGGATTTGGTGAAGGAACTCAACTCCTCAAATCCCACAGGCCCCCAGTTGCCACCCAGCGACGCATTCCTTTTCCCCGCGTCTCAAACATCAGCGGGTCGCTGCAGTCAGAGCCCTCCCCCTGCTCTGCCGGGCTCCTAGCGGTGAGCAGGCAGCAGTTTGCGCAGACACGCTGGACGTTGCAGCTGACCAGAAGATGTTTTGCAAGCCAACCACCAGGCCAGCGAGCGCCTGGGGATACCGAGCAAGGAACGCGACCTCCCAGGTAGCGTCACGACTCTCAAGCGAGCATTTGGGAAGCCGAAGGGCTGGCTGCTAATGGGAACAGCAAAGGCAACCAAGCCCATCGGGAGCTACAGCCGTGTGCCACCCCATCAGAGCAGAGGCCCTCGCAGAGCGCCGCAGCCCGCGGCAGGGGACACGCGGAGTCCTCTCCTAAGTGCCAGGGTGGTGATGTCATACGTGACTCTCACCCCTACCTTGAGGGACGAGTTCCTTTTTGGGAGCGTGCAGCTTGCATTGCGCTGCGCGTGACGTTGTGGAACGCGAGGGCCGTGGCTAATTTTAGAACAGTGTCACCATTTCCTGGCACGGGGACAGACGCCTTGCGCTACGTGCAACTTGTTTGCCCTGTCGTGTGTAGCAGGGAGGCTGCGCTTCCAGCGCATTCGCTCACTTCCATTTCGAGGCCAAAAGACGCTTTGGATAAAATCAGAATTTCTTTTTTCCCAAAAGCACGTGTACTCTAAAGCGGTGCAAACACTGCAGAAGCGTGGCTATGGGATCCATGGCCTTTACGTGATCGGTTCACACAGCTACAGCCATGTGTGTGTTCCCTGTATTTCCACCCAGTGACTGCTAGGACTCCCCAGGACCTGGAAGCCCGCACCTAAGTGGAAGATTCGAACGTAGGTGACTCCCAGCAGGCACAAGTTCTCCCTACGGCGTGAGAAGGAGCTGCCACAGAACGGTCTTTTGATGGACCGCTGCTCCTCTTTGGAGTAAGTAAACAGTTTTGGAGCAGTTTCATATTCCTTCTGCATTATAAAATGGTTTTGTTTATTACTACAATGTAATTCTTCACTGGGAAAAGGCTTTGCCAAATTTAGTACCACCGACACTACCTCTACACATTAACAGAAGTGACGTCTTGCTCAGTTGGAAAGCACAGTGTGTGCACCATGCGCTGTGGCGTTCGAAGAACCACACAGAGCATTTGTGCCCGCTCTGCCCTCAGGAAACACGGTGCTAAGACAGTTTGCCTTTTTGAATCTGACAAAATCATCAGCGGAGCGCGTTACCCAGCAGGAACGAGCCGGCAGGCAGCAGAGAGAGGAGATGGGGCAGCAGAGCGGGAGGCCCCGCCGCCGGGTTGCTGGTCCCCGGGGCGCGCGCTCCGGCACGGCTGCCGGCAATCGCCCTCCCAGCCTGCGGAAGCCACTCAGCATCAGCAGCGTTCTCGTACCCATGGGAATCAAAAATCAGTCCAGGCTCTTGAAGCAAAACTCATTTTGAGCTGAGTGTCTCGATTATGCACAGCGAACAAATTAAATGCAAAGCACTGCCTTCTTTTATTGAGAGATACATAACTGCATTTTGACTAGCCGTGCGGCTTGGAAAGCCAAAGCAATACTTTCAGTCAAGACCACAATCACTCCTAATAATGCTGCAATAAGCAAATAGACTTTGCAGCTACACCAATTTTAATGGCAGCTCTCAATCTTCTCCTCCCAGTCAGGACACTTACTGATGTCTCAACAGTATGGATTTAGGAGTCCCCTTTCCAATCGTAAATGGGTAATTTTGAATTTCAACCTTTTGCTGTATTAGCCACTTGCATTGAAGGGCTTGTGATAAAAATCACCCCCCTTGTCCACCGAGTTTATAATCATCTTTGGCCATCTTTTATGCTTTTCTTAGGTTTTGTCTTCTACAATTCTGGCTTTGCTTTTGAAAGACTCAAAGCGCTGCAGATGTTTATGTCTGTTTATATATGTGCATGGTGTGTATGTGTGCACATACACCCATTTTAGCATAAGCAAAAATACAATGGTTAATTTTTAACAGTTTTAATTTAAAAATATTTGGTAGCCGAGGTTTTTGCGAAATTAAGAAAGCGTCGAAGTAACAACTGCTCGTCAGCACAGAGCACCGTGTTTGCTGTGCTTCCAGCCCAGGAGAAGATACTCACAGTCTCACCGTCCTGGTTTGCTTTCTTCATTTCCACTTGGGATGCTCCTTGTAATTTTTCTCCTCTTCCTTTCATCGTGTGCATGTGCTGTTTGATGCGCTGTTCCAGTTTCTTTCCTCTGAGGGACCTAAGTAAACATGGTGAAATTATTATTTCAGGTGCCTTATATCCATTGACCTTTCTGTTTCTGTTTTCAAGTGTTTAACACATTTCTGCCAAAAAAAAAAATAAATGCAGACACAGGGAGCAAAACGAGCAAATGCTGCGGCTCTGCCTTCGTTAACGTGCGCTTTGCGGTGTATGCACCGTGCAGCGGTCTTAGAATCGTTTAGGTCGGAAAAGACCTTTCAGATCATCAAGTCCAACCAAGTCTTGCACTGCTGTATCTCACCTTGGCTCTTACACTTGCAGGGATCTATTAAATTAGTTAATTATGTAAATCAACCCCTTGCCCCGCTCCGTGCATAAGCTCGATGGTGCTCTGGGAACAGGCCAGAGCTTGGCAGTGCACCAGACTGGTTTTGGTGGGTCCTTTGCTGCTGCAGAAGCTGGCAGAGTTGCAGTGCCCAAGGCAGTGGGATGAAAAAGGGAAAAAGGAGAGACGTGCGGTCAGGGAGGCTGAACGCGGTTCTGTAAGGCAAGGGAGGAGACGCTGCTGGGGCGGCCGGCACAAGCAAATGCAGCGCTGCAGAAGGCACACTAACAAAGAATTTGAAGGGACACCTGGGCTGTGCCCAGTGCAAGTGGCTGAGCAGTTTGCAGCATAAGCAAAGAACTTTTTGACCGTCTTGCCTGTAAATTTACAATCATGTTGGGCAGCAGAAATACAAAAAGAGTACTGCAGAACAGCCCTTCCAGCACACCAGTGGTACTGGCTTTCATACCTGCATGAATACAAGAACAGGACTGAAATATCAATGACTGCTGAATAAATGCATTCACTGTACTTCACTTTTTTCGTGCTCATCAGCCCTGTCTGGCCATAGCCGTGCTATCTGTAACCACCTCTCTTCCATATTGTGACACAGTATAATGTAGTGTGTTTTTCCTTAAAGGTGATTAAAAAAGTCCTTAATTTACAGGCATCTGGTCAGTAGCTATGTCCCGAGATCACCAGCTGGAACATGCTTGTACAGTTGGTCGAGGTGCAGCCTCGTATAAAGATACGCTCATTTTTAGGAGTGCAGAATGGAGCAACCCAACACATCCAGCAATCAGAGAAACAAACAGAACATTTCAAGCTTTCCCTGTATACGTTAAAACCAAATAGAAAAAAAATCCCAAAACTTAATTTGAATACTTTCTAAAAATAGCACCAGACATTTTACAGGCTCTTAAAAATTTGGGACATGTTCATACTTCTTCCCCCCACCCCTCTTTTTTTTTTTTTTTTTTTTTTAATAACCAACCCTCTTGTAACGAAGAATGACTCCAAGTATTTCCCAGCCCAGGTGACAGCCTAGAACAACTGAGACAAGCATGTAACCTCACGCTCCAGGCCGAGCCTGTCAAGGTGAGGCCATCAATCCGGCGGGATTTGTTCAGTTCATTGTGCAAAAAGGACCAGAAATGCTCAGTTCCTCATCAGCCCTCTGGCTCGCGCTCGCTGCATTAAGATGATATAGAGATACTATAAAATAGTTGGTTTATTATTAAAATAGGTTATTCACATAACGAGAGTTGCTTTACCAGCATGCTTCCTGTCCTGGTATGGTGTGGTACACGAAGGAGCAAATGAATGTGGCTCAGGTACAAGTCCCGAAGCGCTGGTGATTATCTTTCAGAATTTCTTATTTATTTTTTTTTTAAAGTCAGCCTGGAATTAACTTGAGTTTTTATTTCTCTTAGTCACAGCGTTTGTTGATTAGGGTGCAAGATTTTTTACTTCACAGGATAGCAAAAAAGAAACGAATGCTTCCATACAAACAAAATCAAATGCAGGTCATCAACAGCATTAGGCAGGAAGAGTTTATGATCTTATCGTTTCAGCACTCACCTTGTGGCTTCAACTTTTCCTTGCAGCAACCTTTCTTCCATTATTTCAGGTGCACGGTCCTGCTCCGCGGCTCCCTCTTTCGCGGTGCAGTAACCGATGTCATCAGTAGCACACGGTGCGCTTCTTGGTATCTACAGCAAAACACAATGCTGACACGTTATACGGAAGCGATAGCAATTAACAACTGGTTTCATACTGAAATTACAGATGTTGTAAAGGCTGTTGCTCGCTGAAGTCGTGGTCGGGGAGGGGGAGCTCGGGCCGGGGGCAGTCAGCAGCAACGCGGCGAGCACCACGCCATGCTGCGGAGCGCGCCGGGGACCTGCTCGTAGGCAGGCGCTTTCCATACATGTCCCCACTCATCACCCAGCGTGAACACGCTTCCATTTCTGAACGAGGGTTTAATACAAAGGCCAGCAAATCAAAAACCAAAGCTGCGAGAACGCCTGGCTTGAACACCTTTTCTTTTAGTAAAATAATATAATAATGACGCTGTGGAGGCCAACGGGAGTTGCATAATGATGATGCTCGTGAGTTCTGCTGAGGCTACAACGGCTGAAGTCAGGGTCCTAGGACTGAATTCTGCATCCTGTACTCCTATGTTTTTATTGCCTTCAATTAAGTTGTAACGTTCACAGATAAAATGTGATATTTATTGCTTATTTACTTACAAGAGTCTTATTTCCCCAAGAGCTGGGGGGAAAAAAAAAAAACAACAGACAGATAAAACAAATCTGTTCAAATTATTTAAATTCAGATTAATGCTGGTGCTTTCCGTAAACTCCTATCACAAAGTGAAAAACTTACAAATACTCCTCAATGGCTTAAGAACAAACCACGCAGACCGCAGCGGCACCCGCCCTCCTGCGCGGGGTCGCTAACCGTGCCACCCAGTTCCATCTTAACCTCCGCGGGTCTGTTAAAACTCGCTGCACCGACAGCCTTCCAGAAACGCTCGACTCTGGTCCGCGCAGTTCGTTCTTCTCCTGGGCCGTTACAATTCCATTCTGGCCAAATTAAACGCGTACCTGTGCATTTGGGAGTTCAGCGAACAGCCTTAGGGTGCCACGACATTTTACGCTGCTTGGCTTACACCACCGTAAGAATTTTTTTCTCTGAAACAGTTTTAAAACCAGTTGGCGTTTTAGAGATGGCGATCGCAGCGAGTACCAGGCCTGGGTGAAAAGCAAGCCCGGCCAGCCGTGCCCGGCCGGCAGATCTGCTCAGAGGGAACTGAGCTCCCTTTGTTGCTGTGTAATCAGATGGTTCAGTAATCGCTATGGACACGTGAATTTTATCCCCCACAGAAGCACAGAATGGCTTTATAAAAGGTACTCGGGTCTAAAGATACCAAGGTGGTGGCGGGCATGACAGCACGCAAAGTTTAGGACCAAAAACAAGGGGAAAAAATTGGGAAATGCATAGATACATTTTCAAATCTAGAATACGGTACTAACAGTAATGGTAATTGGCCACATAGTCTGTCTTTTCCCATTCTGTCCTATCTTATTTTTTTCCAGGCAGAAAACCTGGAAAGGTTCAGCTATACCTTTAGTTATAGCTGAAAGAGGTATTTGCGCGATCTTATGTTACTGAAGAACAGAAAATGGCTTTCACCTGTAACTTCAGTATTCCGTGTCTAGGAGCCCGCGGGAGACAGCTACCCTGATGGCGTATGTCGTGGCAATCCCTAACGATGCCTGAGCTTCAAGAACATGGTTCAATGGCATAAAATTGCATCAAAGAGTTATCAAAGTCACAAATCAGCTTGGGGTGGTCAAGTTCATAAAACTGCCATTGTCCCGCTGTGGGACTGCTAACCCAAAACCTTCACCAGTGTGGCAGCACGGCCCTTGGGGATTACTTGAACCGGTAAGAAGAAACAACTGAAGATGTTTTGGCGCTATTTTTTCCATTTAACTAAGTCCATTTTGTGGAAAATGTGTTTCTGAGAAAGCGTACTTCATATATTTTCTCACGGTCTGGCTGTGCACGCATGTGGCAACACTCTGCAAGTCCAACCCTTGGCTGCAATGCAAGGAAGGGATCACCAGAGCCTGGGAAAAGGGAGGCCAAGCGCGTGTTTTCTAATTATGTTAGCCAAACCTGGGGAGCAAAACTAGGTGGGACAATAGGGCCGTTTGGTAAGAAAAGAGCAGTTCCAGGAGAGAGGGTGGGAAGAGGCTCGGAGGAGCCGACACCTTGTGTTTGGTTACAGAAGGGCACCATCAATGTCCTCCTCTGCCCCAGCGAAAAAGCAGCCGGCACCCCGCTCTTACAGATGTCTGCCAGATGTTCTGCCCACCGGGCTGTGCAGTCTCCCTCTCTTTACATCAGCGGATACTCCGTTATTTATAGAACGCAGCTCAACAGCCTTGTGGAGTCACTTGTGGAAGAGCCAAGCCAAAGCCCTACCTCCACGTTCAACTTCTCGCATGCCCAGAACCCCAGTCCTCCACGCTTGGTTGCAGGGTTAGGCCCTTCCCTCAGCATTTTCCAAATAAAGTTACAAAAACATTTTGGTTTTGTTCTGCCAGGCTGAACGCCTTTAAAAACTCAAAACTATTCTGTGAAGTCAAATTACTTCCCAGAGAAACCACCTTACCTGTACTTCAAGTTAATAAATTCCCAAGGTTTTGCACTGAGGAAAATGATTGCAGTAGATTTGAAATATTTTAGAGGCACTTCATTTTTCTCAGTGCAAAAGCTTACCTCCAAACTGGCTTCCAATAAAACTGCCAATTATATTTTAATAGTATTGCCTGTGACTACGCTTCTGTAACAATACCGCTGCAAAGAAAGTCAATCAGGAGGAGAATGCTACAGGGCAAATCCAGAGCCATCCCTTGTAACATTATCAATTATGGTGAAGATAGAGCAGAAGGAACATGGCACGCTCACACGTATTTGACACATATGCACAAAAGGAGCATTTACCTTTGGGAAAGTCAAGGTATGCAATGGCAACCACAAGCAACCATTACTTACCTATCCGTGCCTTTGCCATAATACCTCAAAACTAGGATTCTAAATCACAGAACCATAGAACCTTAGAATGTTTTGGGTTGGAAGGGACCCCTAGAGGTCATCTAGTCCAACCCCCCTGCAGTGAGCAGGGACACCGCTAACTAGATCAGGTTGCTCAGACAATCCAAGACAACCCCATAATTTTAGGAAAAATACTTTATTTAAGAGGAGCTGCCTTGTATCCCGCCCCCATTCAACAAGAACAATTTGAAAACTAAAATCTTTAGGGTGAAATAGAGGAATATTCTCTGCAACACTCAAGGAATATGAAAACGGCTTCTAACAAGATGAGCAGAGAACAAAGAAATACGCTGAACGTGAGATCACAAATTAAAAGATCGTTGATATAAACATATGAGAACGTGTGGCAAAGCTCTTCTCAATTTCAGTATTCATCAGCTATTAACGTAAATGACAGTAAGAGAGCAGCCTCAGAGCAAGCGCATCAGCCTGCACGCGGTCCTGCGGTGCCATCTCCCGTTAAAGACGTGCACACACAAGCATCCACCTTCAGCAACACTCAGCTCTGCTGCGGCTGCGTCCTGTATGTTTATGCCATTCTAAAGCCATCGTTTTGTTATCACTATCTGTACCACTGGTATCATTGTGGGTACCTAAATGTGCTTTGGTTTGGGTTTTTTTTTAAAGAAGAAAAAACTTTTACAGGAGAAATTCAGGAATTGTTTTCTACGAGTGAGTGCATTGTTCTCCCCATTTATTTATGTGGGAACATGAAGGAGAAGAATGAGGAATATTTATATGTATCACGTAGCACGCCTCCTCTTGTCACTCAAAACTCAATTCTGTTCTGTGCTAACCAAATTCCTAAAGTCCTAAAAACTATTGTCAGGTTGGCCAAAACAAAGACCTTTGTACCTAGAGAAAGCAGGCTGCACAGCTTCAACAGGGTAAGTGGAACCCCCGGGAGCTGTTATCCATCAGGAAAGTTCTCAAAAAAACAGGAATTCAGCTCCTAAGTTTTCAGTAAAAAACAACCTGGGCGTTCAGCTCTGACCCCTACTGTTCATAGCAGAAAGACGCATTTTTCTCACACGGCCTGCGTCTGGCCACGCTCCTGCTCTGAGCACTTGGAAATTACCCTCGATGTTGAATATCTGCTGGAACGGTCGCACTGGCACCACCAGCTCAAAGTGCAGAGAAAGCAGGGAGTAAGTGATCCGCGTTGGTTTGAGCCATACACACAGAAGGAAAGTCCATGCAAGATTAGTTAAGCATAGGTGTTATTAATCCTACCCAGTAAGCAGGCTGAGCTACTGGTGCCAGTAAAGGCACTGGTAAAGCACCACTGGTGGCTTCATGACAACCCAGCTGCAGCTGACCCCTGTCCCTGCTCTGCAGCCCACCTCGCCTGCGCACGTAGCAGCTGCCCTGCAAACCTCTCGGCACCACAGCAAACCTACTTTGCTTTATTTCTGTGGTAAGACTGGCCAGAGACATTATCCTAGCCAGAAGCTTTACATTTATGTACGTATTTAACTTCCAGGACAGTAAAAGTCAGCGATGAATAATCACAGTCTAAGAAGATCAGGTTAAAGTGTCTGGAACTGAAACTTAGGTAGCAACGCTGTTGAAGATGCACCAAGCGGAATAAAATCCTGCTCGTAGCACTCTTCCAGCCAGCAGTTCCAAAATGTTTTAGTATTGCATTGTATATAGTATCATATAGAAAAAAAAAAAAATCTATTTAAATCAAAATTTCTATTTTGCTAAAGTAACCAAATACGATCTTTAGCACCGCCGCTCAGTGGGAGGAGAGCGCCTGCCGACACACTGCCGCCTTACCCGCAGGCTGCCCCCGCTCCGTTCCCAGGGCTCTGCGGGGGAAGCAAAGGATTAAGAAATACTGTTTAATTGGTGGAAAACGTCACACCATGGGTGAGCCGAAAGGTGAAGAAGGGCTGTATTGCCATGAACAAACTGCCCGAGCCAGAAGCCCAGGCACCAGCAGAGGGTGAAAACCGGAGACGCCCCGGTGGCCCACGTCAGGTGCCTGCCTTTGCCTACGCGCCGGGAGCCGGGGCCCTAGCGTCGGCACCTACGTGAGACCCCAAACCTATGTAATCTCCTGTCCGATAGCTGCAGCGCAAAAAGACATTTCTCCGAGCACAGATGCATTTAGTAACATAATTTGGCTTAGTTTCAAAAATCTGAGTTTCAAAAAAAAAAAAAAAAAAAAGGAAACAGAAAAACCACAGTAAGCTGGAAGGGGGGCTGCTTTGTTTTTTTTTTTAAAATACGACC